GAAAGAATATCCACACATCCCACAACTACCCAAGTTAACGGTTCTAAAAACTTCAAGTCAGCAACATTATTTCGAAGATCCATGGAAAGGAATCAAATTATAATGAATGGCTACTGCACCACGAGTTCCGTTTCTAAAGTATACCTTTCACTGACAAGAACGGGTTTCTGACATGTTTTACGAGGGCACGTAACTACGTCAGACATCTGACCAAGCGTTCGCTCAAGCAAAATGCGATCATACCGCTCAAAAGCCTCCTTAACAAAACTGCAATTGACAATAAGCGTGAAAGAAAGAAATATAAGCTCTAAATAAGGTCATGTGACCAAGTCCTGACCTCGCCTATAATACTGCGTATGGTTTGCTCAGACGCCGTGGATTTACAATCGGAAGCAGGGCATCCCAGTTCCCGTACCTAAATTAATGAGTTGCACTTTTGCTCATTCCGACACAATAATAAAAATGACAGAACTTCCAAATTGTTCAGCCGCTCTGCGAAGAAACCCGATACGCAGTCTTTGCAGAACACATGCATACACGGATTGAACCGCACACATTGCAGACCCATCTTGTTTTCAAAGCAAATCTGAAAACAAATCTAACTGCATTGCATGAAGTTAAAATCTTCGTTACGCTGCACTTACTTCACAGTCATAACACCCAGATTGAAATAATAAATCCTCCGACTTTGAGCTCGAATCTGCAACCCGTCGCACTAATTCGTGACCCCTCAGGTTCTGAAATACAAGTTAATACAATTCCAACAGCATAAACAGTTGTAAATGATAGTGTATCATTGATACCAGGTAAATAAATACAACGATTACAATATTGGATGATTATACAGGGTGAGTCAAAATTATGGTAGCCGCAACTGCGCGCGGTCTAATCCACCTTTTTCCTAATCTCTTCACTTTCCTCTTTCCTTATAGCATAGTGAGATAGAGGACAATGACGTCCCCCTATTGTAATCAAATATCACCAGGCTCTCAAAATGAGTGAAATAACATCATGTGATGCCAAGCCTCGAATTGAACCGACAGGTGGCTCTGGCACGTTACATCTAGCGACGGTTCAATGTAGCAAAGAAGCTCTTATGGGTAAAGGTCGAATGTCCATTAAGTTAGGATCCACCTTAAAGCAACAGTTCAGGGAGGGTCCGAAAATTTCAATGCCACTACTACTGAGGGATACACGAGCCCTAGTGAAGAACATATGCAGTGGAAATAATAAACGAACTTACCTCAGAAACTCAAAAACAGGGTGGAAAGTCCCTCAAACATGGGTGTTCTTGGGGATTTCCCCAATCCCGCCCCCTTGCCGGCCGTCATTGGACGCGTCGGCAATCGTGCTCGTTTTGGGACCACAGGGAAAATTGATTGAAAAATGGAGCGCGTTTACAGCGGGCACGTTCAGACAACTCGTCCAACGTGCGTCTTTATCCATTGCTGAGCGGCAGAGGGAGAGTACCTGTCTAAGACCCTCCCCGACGTTTTTTTCCAGTTTTTCATACATTAATCGTCTGGTTTTCATCTACAACTTCATTATTGGTGGTTTTTTTCCCGCGAAACCGTTCCTGAACTGTTGCTTTAAGAAACTGGTTACTACTTGCGAATTTCGTACCGCCAAATTGAAAAATTGATATTAGAAGCCATTTGGACACTCTTAAAGGCAAGATTCGGGATAAAATAGGTGTGGAAAAGCGTTCAGTTATGAAGCTAGAGGTGGGAGGTGGTCTGTAAAAGAGAAGGAAAGCAAACGAAACCACCGATTACGCCCCGTTCAGCCACATTCCACCTTGGGATAGAGAAGAGGCGAATTGGACGAGAACCTAACTCTACTTGCTCCAGTGCCAATGACATTGGATCGCGATGGGACCGCTGCCTCAAATGCGCCCGCGCTTTTCAAGCAGCGCCACGTGGCAACCGACAGCGGAGGGTGGGGCTTGCGGACGAAGGTGTGAGTTGCGGGTCGGACGAGCTCCTTGCGCCTTTGTCGCGCACTTTCAAGCGGCAAAAGGGGCGCGACATCAACACTTGTCCACCTGCCTACTACCCCCTGGATGGAACAGGCGAGCCCGCCTAATCGCGGAGCGTGCCTTTAAGTCCGACATTTATCATGGACAACAAGCAACATGAGGAATCACTTTGGACGTTTAAGCAGGAAAGGGCACCTTCTTATACAGCAAAAATCTGCAGAGGTATTTTTCGAGTTAATTTTCTTCGAAGAAGTGTTACCTGGAAAATCCCCACCGAATTCAGCTGGATTTTCTGTATGGTACGCCTTTGGGTAAGAGCAAACCAAAATCGCAAAGAAGTCTGACTCTCTGGAGGAGGCAAAACAAAAAACTAGGAATTATTTGAACGCATCTCACCCAGATGCCACCGTCCGCGCTTCCCTTTTCATCTAAAGGCTTGCATTGAGTCAATAGTTAACATATTTCAAACCCACTTAGCTTTACTTTTTTGTACTAGTGGATAACCTTTCTTGTGGCGTTGATTTGTTCCATTAAGCTAATATTCGTTCTTAATGACTTAATTTCCTGGTTACCATAATTTTAAACCCATCCTGTAGTACAACTTCCATTGCACTAATGAATAGATTCTAAATAATTTTTGGTTACCTAGAGCGTGGACGAAAATCACAGAACCACGTTTCCAAACGAAAAGTAAATTAAACATATGCAGGTACTTGTTGGTGGGTCACAGTGGTGCTTTTCGAGAGAAGCTCGTCTATCTCTAAACTACACTAGATGTTATCTAAGCATTTTCTTTCTGACTTTCATATGGGTTCCCGCTAATCAGAGACTGCCTCCTGCTCATGGTGCCTTTCATGTAATACTAGCGATTGTGTTATCATTAGCTAACCGCTTTTGCTAGCATGTTTCTGGGGTTTTGTTTTTGGCCTATCCCAATATTATCCAACGCCTTATTTCTGAGTTGATCTTTGCGGTCTTTTGTTTTTGTTCCAGTTTTTCCTTTTCATTCTTCTGCCCTCCTTCTTTTCCCGGCTTTGTTTCGTTAATTTACTACGCCCATTTTGGGCCGGCATGTCGTTTAGACGTATGAAAATAAATAAATAAATAACACCGGAAAAGGTTTTTACATTTTTCTTCCCCATAATACTTT